AAAAAGTAAGAATGTGAGGGAAAGTCAGGCTGATCAGATTTTGCATTTCACTTCATCTGAACTCAAAAGACCGGGGTACGCTGAATAAAACTAGACGAAATCTGTCGCCTGTTTCAAAGCTTATAATTTGTTGTCGCCTCATGAGCTACGACTAAGGTCTTGTTTTAATAAAGAATCAAAAATGCAGACTGGTTCCACCTATGGAATTCTTGATCTGTTTTGTTTGCTATTTACCGTAGGTATATTCATTTAATGTCACATTTAACATTTAATGTCACATTTAACATTGCAACATTTACTTATTCAAGCCCTTTCAAGCCATTTATAATTCAGCAGGTTTTATGAGCGCGCAGTTAGATAGTGTGTTACGTGTTTTAAACTCGAAATGCGTTCACTGTCGTTAACAGCAACGCCGCTTATCAATTAGCATGTGCATTTTTGAAACAAATGAAAGCTGAACGTTTATAATTTGTCCGCCGCCACACTGCACTGGAGATGGAGGTACTCATATGTAATTCGATTGGCAACCCTTTTGTTAGCATCGTTCACTCATTTTTGAGGCATGAGTGAAAAATAAGCTGAAGAGAGCTGCAGCATAGTACCATTTTGCTTTCACAACGATCAAAAAAGTTGCTCGCATCGTCTGTAACCGCGGAGCACCGGCATTACGCCAATGTTGTGTACACTTCTGTTTGTGAAACTTTGTCCCAGACTTGCAACTGATTTCTTCTTTACGGGATGCTGCTTCCACCCCCTGTGTATTGGGGAGTGAGCGTTTTGTATATGTGTGTATTGCATAATTGAGTACAGGAAAAGGAAGGCCATACGGAAGTGCAAGTTTGCTCTTGTTCTCTTGGCCACTCAGTGTTCCCCAAGTGACCACTGCAGTGGCCACCTATTGGGTCATGTTTTCATGCACTCATTCATTGTCAGGAAGGACAACAAATACTGCCCATTGTGTCATTATTCATATTATTTCTTGAATGAATGAGTGTATTCCATTACACACTCAGGCGCGCAAGCATTCATCTTAATGGACAGTGAAATTTCCAACAAATAAAAGTTCTGAATAGGCTTGCACCACAATATTTATAGATAGATTTTTGGTTTTATTTTTTGTTTTGGAATTAGACTTGTAGATTTCTTTTGTGTTTATTTAGGTAATGAAAAACCGCCGTCAAACACTTTGTATCTGTATATATGTGTATATATAGGCGCGCTTGTGCTATAGAATCTTCAACATAACAGATAAAAATATGAATGCTGGAACTGGAAATTTAAGATGTAGAACCTGAATTGAATAAATCTCAAAATGATCAAGTGGAAGAGCTAGAGGAATAAGGCCAAGGTTTTTTTTTTCCATATTTGTAACAGTGACTGTATCAGCAAAGATGAAAGTGAAATGTGATACACATCGCCAACCCATCCAACAGGTGCAGCTTATTATCCGGATTGAAACAACACTTTCTGCTTTTCGTGCAGCGAAGGTTTCTATTTATCGAAGAATTAATGCGCTTCCTTGGTGGTATGGAAAAGATTTTGAACTGAAAGAAATGGATGAGCAGAATAAGGATGCAGGAATGCGAGGTTGTCTGCTGCTAACTTGAGAGATTGTTTAGTTGG